GTAATTTTTTTTTCTCTTAACATGAAAAGATTTCCCTTCTAGGAATAAACAAAATAGGGAAAACACCAGTTGGATTTCAGCAGATGATGATAATGTGTGTACAACAGCGTTTCTCAAATTGTGGGGTGCCCCCCTCCTAGGGGGGCGTGAGCCTATTGAAAAGTCGAAAACAAATGATCATTTTTTTTATAAAAAGAATATTAATTTACTGAACAAAAGAAACAACATTCTGACACAATAAAAAATAAAATACACATTTACACTGATATAAATAATCAGACTGACTTATAAATGTAAATCTCTGACTTATAAATGTATCAGACCTGAACGATGTATTTTATAATTAATTTAACAATACTACGTTAAGAAAAAGTTTAATAATTACCAGTGACCCCATGGGCTTGTCATATATAAATTTGTACACAAATGCTAACTCTTACCTTAATAATTTTTGTACTGTTTATAATTAATTCCTTAACTGCTGATTAAATTGTACTCAATTCGCTCCCCAATACCACCGTTTACGTAGGCACGTGTATGTGATGTATTGGGGGAGGGGAGAGAAAAGGAATAAAAATAATTAAATCCTCTGAACTCAATAAATCCTTCACAAACACTGTCAAAACCCTTTTATTGTATTCAAAAGCCTTCGGAATAATTTTATGGATAGCAATGCACAGAAAAGATCGTACTTCAGAAAGACTTATATATACGTCCGGGGAAATTAACTTTGGTCTGAGCGAGGCGTTTATATACACCAGTGATACTTAAGAGGTTAAAATCTTAATGTAGCTTTAGCGTCAAAGTATAGTATAATTGAATTCAATACATTGTTATTGTATGAAGGGGGGGGGCGATGAAATTTATGATTGAATAGTGGGTCGCAAGTATTAAAAGTATGAGAAGCACTGGTGTACAACTCCAATTATGGCAGACAAAGACGTTTTGGAGTTAGTTTAAAGCTCAAACATGCCATTGATGCAATTCTGACGATGAAAATGAAATGAATAACGCAACTCTTGTTCCCATGTCATCAAAAAAGTGGAACGTCATAAGCGCAGCTATTTAGACGCACATTCTAACAGTGAAATGAATAACAAAATGAACGATATCCAACAATTTGAGCTAAAAAACAATTTGATGCAAAAGAGAAAAACAATTCAAAGTAAAGTATCAGATTATTTTCCAAAAACTCAATAAATGTTTTGTATTAAATTTCCTTAAGTTCTTTTGAATGTTTTTGTTCCATTGGTTTTTATTAAATATATGCATATATACATGTTTGTGTAAATAAAATAAACTCTAATAAAATTAATTTTGTTGATATTTTTTTTTTTTTTTTTTTTTGCAATATCATTTAACACGGAATTCTTTTAACACGAAAAAATATTTCAGTTTCTTTAGTTTCATATTAAATGAATTTCACCGCATTTTAAATCAAACATTATGAGTACGATAAAAAAAAACATAGAAATTACTTATACAGTCCCTTATAAAATTAAATAGATAGAAAACCAAAGCCCCGTAAGATTTAAAAATATACGGATTGTAATTTCAACAGCTATGTCGTATTAGATTTAAAACGAGCTACACCGAATTAAACACAGATCATTTAGTTCAGCCATTCCTCCCTTTGCTAAGGCACAAATACAATTACATTCGGGAAGAGAGGTCTTGTAAGATGAATCGCTTTTGTAATAGTCTACTGTCACTAACTATAGTTTTGTCACGGGCATTGTACTAGTGAACTATTTTGGGAACAGCTTTTGAGCTGTTTTGCAAATTAACACAGACTCGCCAAATATATCGTTTCGTCTGTGAATATAACCGTGTTCCATCAGTGGCACACATAAGGGGGGGGGGGCGCGAACGGGTCCGCACCATCCATCCCCCTTGAATTTTTTTTCTCGATTGACTATAATCTTATGTATGTAGTACTTAACATTTAATTAAGTATTTGTTGATAATAATTTATTTTATTAATTAATTCTGTTTATTTATTCAATAATTTATTTTGTTCCCGACAATTGACAAAATCAAAAGAACCTGTTTGGAGGCGTTTTGGGGAATGATATAAGAATGATGGACTTTCCACCATCGAGCCCTTCCTTAAAAAAATTCCGGTTAGTGCCCCTGTGTTCCATAATTGAACTTTATGACCAAGTAAATTTAGCTTAACCCTTTATCTACCGCATTATATTTTACTGCAATTTTTTTTTTCATGCAATATTTTTTTTTTTTTTTTTTGCATTATTATATTGAAAATTAAGGGATATACATAAACAATATAATCAACTTTGGGAAATTTAATCCGTTAGAGCTAATTAATTAATTAAAGATACTCAACTGTAAAATTAAATATATACACTGTTCACCTAAAATAAATAGTCCAATCATTTTCTAAGGTCTTCATTAACATACAA